TATGCTGCCAGAGTTGCTGCCAACTCGCGTGAGGACAAGCGTGAGGAGATCCGCCTTGATATGGAAGCATATGACCATGCCATCTACATTGACACTAGTGAGCCTGGCAAGAGTGCCATATCTGGCCCTCGCTACGAGACGAGGCTGGAGTCGAAGTATTTGGATGGTTCTGACCTCTCCAAGCGATTCCGGGTTGAAACGTTTCGATCCCCGGGAGTCCTCGGCGATGCGTCAACACCGAGGGCATCCCTCCGATGCTACTTCGTGTATCAGTGCCAGTTTGTTGATCCAGCCGCCGACCCTACTGAATCCCGCCTCGAAGTCATCAGCGACCGCATGTTTCTCGCGAAGGCAACAAAGAACACGAAGCAGATCTACCAGGAAATAATTGAGCTTGCAGTCAGCCGAACTGGACCTGTCATCGAAGTGTTTGATATTGAAGACTCCCAAGAGAAGCGGCTGGTTGTTGCTTTTCGTTCACGAACAGCCCGCGGCATGTTCAGCGCGCTTAGCGATCTATACCACTACTATGGTGTCACCAGCTCGCGGAAGTACGTCGAACAGTTCTCAAATGGTATCACCGTCATGAGTATCTACCTTCGACCAGCTGCGAATCTCGATAGAGGATTTCCCCCTCTAGAGCAGTCCATCCACCAGATCACCAAAGAGATCTCGCTTCTGTATTGTGTCCCGTATAACAAGCTCCACAATCTTTTCGCTTCAGGCGAGCTTAGTCTGCAAGAAGCAATTTACGGGCACTGTGTCTGGGTGTTTGTTCAGCACTTCCTCAACCGCCTTGGTTCCGAATATGCGTCACTCTCAGACGCTCTTGATGTGAAGAACAACGCTCATATGCTTCTGCTTTCGAAGTTGAAGCGGCGGCTCCGGACCGAGACATTCACACCGGACTATATCCTGGAGATTGTGTCCTCTTATCCAAATCTTGTCCGAGCTCTTTATGCGTCATTTGCGAGCGTCCACCTCGCGGTTGGCCCAGGTTTTGAGCGTCGCTCTATTGCTCCGACACCCACCGTTAAGGTCCTTTCGGATGCAGACTTGAGGGCCAAAATTACCAAGGAAGTGTCCAATGAGCACGAGGAAATGGTCATGACTGCTTTCCGAGTGTTCAACAATGCCGTTTTGAAGACGAACTACTTTACACCGACGAAGGTCGCCCTGAGCTTCCGCCTCGACCCTTCCTTCCTTCCTGAGTTTGAGTACCCTCGCCGTCTGTACGGGATGTTCCTCGTTATCAGCGCCGAATCGCGTGGCTTCCATCTTCGCTTTAGAGACATCGCCCGGGGCGGCATTCGGATTGTCAAATCACGAAGCAAGGAGGCCTATGGCATTAATGCCCGCAATCTTTTTGATGAAAACTACGGTCTGGCAAGCACACAACAGCGCAAGAACAAGGACATCCCAGAGGGTGGTTCCAAGGGTGTTATCCTACTCGACCCCAAACAACAGGACAAAGCCCGTGAAGCGTTCGAAAAATACATCGACAGCATCCTCGACCTCTTGCTGCCGGCTGAAACGCCTGGCATCAAGAATCCGATAGTGGATCTGTACGGGAAAGAAGAGATTCTCTTTATGGGGCCAGATGAAAACACGGCAGACCTGGTCGATTGGGCAACCAAACATGCATTCGATCGGGGGGCCCCGTTTTGGAAATCTTTCTTCACTGGAAAATCGCCCACTCTGGGTGGTATCCCACACGACGAGTATGGAATGACGACGCTTTCCGTTCGCGAGTACGTCCAGGGGATCTACCGGAAGCTGCAGCTAGATCCTTCCCATGTTCAGAAGATGCAGACCGGAGGCCCTGATGGTGATCTTGGCAGCAACGAAATTCTTCTCAGTAACGAAAAGTACACGTCCGTGATAGATGGGTCTGGTGTGCTCGTCGATCCCAATGGAATTGATAAGGGGGAGCTTATTCGACTAGCGAAAAGCCGAGTCATGGTCTCGCAATTTGACTTGGCCAAGCTCTCCAGCGATGGATATCGTGTCCTGTGTGATGACTCAAACGTTACTCTGCCTACGGGCGAAGTTGTCGCCAATGGTACAGCTTTCCGCAATACCTACCACCTTCGTGATACGGGGATGACGGATATGTTTGTTCCGTGTGGTGGCCGACCTGAATCCATTGACCTCGTTTCTGTGAACAAGATCATCAAGGATGGCAAGTCGATCATCCCATACATCGTTGAAGGTGCGAATTTATTCATCACACAAGACGCCAAGGGCCGCCTCGAGTCGGCAGGATGCATTTTGATCAAGGATGCCTCGGCCAACAAAGGTGGTGTGACCTCTTCGTCTCTCGAGGTACTTGCGTCTTTGTCTTTTGATGACGCTGGCTTCCGGCAGCACATGTGCCACGACGACAAGGGTGTGGCGCCAGAGTTCTACAAAGCTTATGTTAAGGAAGTTCAGAACAAGATTCGCGAAAATGCGCGTCTTGAATTCGAAGCGATTTGGCGGGAGCATGAGGAGACTGGGGTGTCTCGCTCAGTTTTGTCTGACAAGCTTTCCGTCGCCATCACGACTCTAGATGAGGAGCTCCAGAAGTCGGATTTGTGGGCGGATGAAAAAATCCGGCGGCACGTTCTTGGCGATGCGCTTCCGAAGCTCCTTATTGACCAGATCGGACTTGACACGATAATTCAACGCGTTCCTGATGCTTACCTGAGAGCTATCTTTGGCAGCTTCTTAGCGAGCCGCTTCGTCTACGAGTTCGGTTCGTCCCCAAGCCAGTTCGCTTTCTTTGATTTGTAAGTGTACAGTTTCCTTCCCGCAGAATGATCTTTGCTTTTGGCCACCATTGTTTTCGGCTATAGCTAACTTATCTTTAGCATGTCGAAGAGGGTGGCTCAGATCCCCAAGTAGATTGGGGAGGTTTTTTTTCATCGTAATTCGTGTTTTTCTTGTGTCACTTCTTTCGTTTTCTTTTTGTTTTCCTTTTACAGACACTGCCGCTTCCATCATGCTTGGTAGGCCAATAAAGTTTCACTGTGGCGATTCTGTGGGTCTGCTGCAGGAAACATGTTGCTTCCTGTTCTTAATGCGAATGAAAGAGGTACATGTTTGTCATGTCGAAATCGTGCTTTGCATCGCATCATCCCTCTCATATTTTCCTCGGGCGGTGGTAGGGGTTTTTCTGATAATGTCGTGTTATATTGTTTCATTTCGTATGACATGAGTCAGTTGGTTTCTCTGCTCTATCATTCATGTTTTGTGTGTGAGACTAATCGAGCCTGGAACAATGACCGGCCAACCCCCCAACCAAAGTCTTGGGAGGGATAAGACAACCCGGCGAGGACAGCAATGAGGTTACGGCTTGTAGCTTGGCTCGGTCACGTACGAAAAGCCGATAGCGGAGAAAGCTTCGACATTCAAATGCAACATCTACAGCACAACTCTCGCCGGCACTAAACTAGATAATAGATAGGAGACGGTTATTTGGTAAGCTAAGCTTGGCGATAAGTTACGAGCTTACCTTTTAAGGGAATGTTACCACACCGCTAACGGATAACTCAGTGGTTTAAAATGTGAGGGCAAAAGTCAACCTGGACGAGACTTCATGGGGATGTTAAACACAGGCAATGCAGCGGGCTAGTTCCGGACAGGGGATCAAGGTGGGTTCCGCATCGCAACGGACATGGTAATACCCTTAACGGGAGCCTTGAAGAGTTCAGCAAGCAACACCGCGCTGTGCAATATCCTTGATCGTGTCTCATGCAATATTGGTGGCTGTTACGCCGAACATGCGCGGGACAAAAGCCCCAATTGTGATGGCCGAAAAGCGATTGTTAGACACAACGATATATAAACCGGGCCGACTGTAGTATCAGAATTATATATAAAACGAGTGTAAATGTTACCCTCCATCGTTCCATTTCCAGGCTCCTTGAAAAACGGCTTCGTTCCGGAATGGGAGGTGTGCGCGTACGCACAGGCGCGTGTGTTGGATTGAGCGTCAAATAAGAAAGTGCTCAGCCTTAGTTTTACCGTGCCAGAGTTGTCGGAGGCAGACCTGAACTACCGCCGTTCCAGGTGGGAGAGCGTATTAATTTGGCACCGCCTCAAAGCTATGCCAGGTGCGGACCAAACGGGAACAACACTGGAGCGTCGGAATACTAGGTCACCGTTCCGAAGCCAAGCCGCATCAACATAGTAAAGTAGGTCGGCCTCCTTGTAAAGTCCAAATAATTGATAGCACGGCAGAATGCTGGGGATCGGAGCACGCCGTGCGGCGCCGTGTGGCGCCCAGGCGCCCTGTGGTCGAACAATCCCTGTTGCATTTTGTGCACGCATGTCGAACGTTTTAATGAGCTTGCGACGGTTCCTTATCGCCCCACTGTTTTCGCTTTCTTGCACGGAGGGTACGGATCTATTAGAGATATGCACCGAATTTACGGCCATTGTCATTGTGGCGTATATGAAAGCCATTAACACAGAATGCAAGTCACTATTTTGTTTTGCACTTATCTCGTCTTTCTTCAACGGAGCTGCGCATTTCGTTGTGGCTCTTATCGGCGAGCCGTACCGAACCGCTACCTGCCCGCCGCTTGCCTTCCACCGACCATCAGTCACGCATACGGTGCTTTGGGCACCTGGATTTGGAGCCAACACCCACTTCTTTTGTGCGGATGACCAGACTTAGCCAAACAAGTCGACCACAGCGTGTATTTCAGTCGTGGGGAAGGAAGCTTTGTCACCTGGGTGTTGCACACACTATTCTCTATTTCACGTTAGTATGTGAAACCCGTATGATAGCAGTTTACCATTGCAGAGCATTCCCGGCGCCCTTCGTCCTTTCCATTACTTTAACAGACCGCCACCTCGCAGAACGCCTCTCTTGCTGCGATCCGAAGCACATTCCTCTCGAAACAGACATACTCACACCTTAACACATCCTGATCTTGGGCCCGATGCAAGCTGGTCTTCGGAATTCGGAATTGCCCACCACGCCTGCCCCCCACAAAACACACTCGTCCAACATGGCCTCTCTTCCCACCAACGTGCACGTCTCAATCCACCCATGTCTTCAGGCAAAGTTGAGCCTGCTACGGTCCAAAGCCACCAGTGCGAAGGAGGTGCGCGCTCTCGTCCATGAAATCTCACTCCTCGTCGCATCCGAAGCGCTGGCATCTTCGCTGCAAGCAGTTGACGGGCCTAAAGTAAGTTGATGTGTGGCGCCACTGTAGCCACCCGTATTGGATCACGGCTCCCCGGCGACTGACTGCCCTCCGACACATTAGGATGTGACCACGCTTGGGTTTGAATATACGACGACAAAAATTGCGTCACAGAGTATTTGTCTTGTCCCTATCCTACGTTCTGGACTCGGTATGGTGGATGCAATGCAGATGCTGCTTCCCGAAGCTGTTCCCGTTCATCACCTCGGCCTCTACCGTGAGCCCAGCACACTCGAGCCCGTCGAGTACTATAACAACCTGCCCAACCACATTGGTACTCCTGCAAGCCAAGGACCAGACAAGCTCGCGATCATTCTTGACCCTGTAATCGCAACTGGCGGAACCTGTGCAGCGGTCATCCAGACCCTTCGCGAGTGGGGCGTTGAGCGCGTGGTTGTCGTCTCCATTGTTGCGGCATTACCCGGCGTGCACAGGGCCGCAAGCGAGTGGCCAGAAGGCGTTCAGATTTGGTGCGCTGGTGTTGACAACGTGCTCACTGATGAGGGTATGCTGCGGCCGGGTCTCGGCGACATCGGAGACCGTCTGTTCTTAACAATTGGCAAATAAATACACGGACGGCACATTAACTAGAAATCGTTGAGCTGTTCTACTAGTTTACTACGCTGTTATCCTGATCGCTGCCTAGATGGAATTGGTATCGTTACAATGGCATTCTGCTACACCTGAACACGTACTGCTCTTCGTCGAGAAGAGTGCCTGCTTTCCACGAGTCGTCAAGCCATGACGTCTCAACGATCCGTGGCTGTTTCGTTCGGCTACTCAGCCGCTGGCGGATATCCATCACATAGTTTCGGGCCGTATCTTCAGCTCCATATGTGCCTGCCGTTTTGACGATGACAACATGTGTCGTAGTGTCCTTGTCGATGTTGTCTTCCACGAGGCCACCCCCAAATCTGATACGGGCCTTGAGATGTATAAGAAATGTCGACGATGTAGTGCCCACAACTGCAAAGTGTACATGGCACCGCCGAAACATGAGGCTCCTTGGGGACCCTAAGTCGTGGCCGCGTTCACCCAACTGATCGAGAAACACACGTACATCAAAAGAGTCATCATAGTCTCCCCTTCTCGCTGGCTGCATCCCGCCTAAAATTTCTTGAAGTCCGCCAACAGTCACATCGCGTGCGAAACTGTCGCCAAATTCGTCTGTAGCCAAAGCAGCTTCTCTTCTTGTTTCTTCCGTAGCATGCAAGAGATGACGATGTTCAAAAGGAAGAAGGAAATCCCCACCCTTTTGCGAAAGGCAGTCTATAAGCCACACTGGTCGGATGATATCAACTTGTGCAGCTTTGATCAGAGACGCAACTTTAATGACCTTCCTGTCGGCTATGATGACCGTATTAGCGGTGGCATCTGGCCGTTGAGATATGCGTCCACCATGCCGTTTTATGAGAGCTTCAATTTCACCGCGGCTCTTTTTGGTAGGATGTACGGCTTCGGACAAAACACAAAATGTGAAGCCTTTGAAGACGTTGCCTGGAGGCTGCTCGTCGGGAAATTGTGCCGGTTCAAATAAGGCGCCGCTGTCTTCACTGTCCTTTTTATCTCCACGGCCTTGGCCAACAATAACCAAGCCTAGCTTGGCCTTTTTTGTGGGACGCCGCTGGCGTCTGTCTTCTATCTGCATCTCCTTTCGGTCTTTGGCTTCTTCATTGATGCGGTCCCGGAGAGCTTGGAATTGCTCCGTGTCAAGAGCGGTATTCCACGACCGGTCAAGGCGTAATCGGCGGAAACGTGGAAACCGTAGTGTCTCTCTCACCGCAAACGAATCCGAAGGCGAAATGCTCGCTGCCTTAACCGAGATAACGATGGAGTCCTTGGGCCTGATCCAAACGTCCGGTTTCTCTAGCTGTGCCCGCTCTCCGCCGGCAAGCTCAATGAATTCGGACGGTGGATTGGAGCTATCCCAATCAACCCATTTATTTTCTGTCAAGTGACGTATCTCTGCATAGTCTTCTGCCTTGAACCCACCGCCGACCTTGAAAAAGCTAAGACATTTCTCCGAGCTGGCGCCGGCATCGATATGGTTTTGACCAACACGAAGACCGCATAAAAAACTCGAGAGAGTACCACCCCGATGTCCCGACCCGAAATAGCCGCCGACAACGAGGCAATCCAGTGACTCGCCAAACTCGGTCATATATTCTGGTTTGACTTTGATCCAGTCATCGTTGCGGCTATTCAGCCGATACATTGAGCAGGGATTTTTCAAAACCAAACCTTCAGAGGAGTTGGCCACAATCTGCCGCAGCATAGGCTCAATCACATCCGGCGACGTGGCTTTCTCGTAAGGGTGCACTTCAAGCCGTCGAGGCACACCTACGACAGCTCTCTCTAATGCCCGGTGCCGATCGTAAAGTGTGTATCGCGCCAGAGGTTGGTCGTTTAGGTAAAGAATATCAAATACTCGAAAAAGTGGCCGCGGTGCTGTGATATCATGCGGGTTGCTCTGGGCCCCGATTGCTGCTGTTTTTAATGTACCGAAAGCGACAATCTTGTCAATTAGAGGATCCCATGTGATCATCTCGCCGTCCAAAATCAAGTTGTGCACGCCATCTGCAAAAGCGCCTTTAAGGTGCTGTGTAAGGGCGGATTTGTTGTTGTTTAGACTATCACCATAAAGATCGGTATAGTCTTTTGCTTTTCGTGACCAAAAGCAGAACCTCCAACCACCAGGCATGCTGTTATCTTTGGCCATGTGCATTTGCATACGCTCTCCGTCGAGCTTCTCCTCAATCCAGAATTCGCTATCGTCTTGAGTAGGACCTAGCTTCTCCACCAATTTTTGGAAAGAAGTGGAGATCTGAAATTGGGCTAGCTGCGGTTGAAAGCATTGCATGAGTGAGACCCTGGAGCTGTCCTGCTCTAATCGAACTTGCGGGTCGTAGAGCTCCCAGCAAACCCGGCGTAAGCTGGAAGACACATTAAACAGAGCCTCGCCGTCAGGGTGCCACAGGTTAAGTATTGTCCTCTCGCTCGCACCGATCTTCATCTGCTTGAGAATGATGCGAATGAGCCAAGTCAATTCCTCGGGGTTCATGTGCTCGTAGAATGTTTCGAATATAGGCAATTGCTCTGATTCGCCACTAGCATCTGCCAGTTTGTCTAAAAGCGCATTCACCTGGCCGATGCGTAGGTCGCCCACTTCTGTCAGTAACGGGCGCTTGGCAAGAACTTCGTAGCAGCGCCCCGCAAAGTCACCGGCCATGCGGCTGATTACACTCTGCCCGGGGAGCTTCCAATGGATTAGGTTGAAACCGTCTTCAGAATTTTTGTCGATTTTCATAAGCTTCACCAGGAGCTTGCCAATGGTGTTTTCTTTTAGCCCGTACACACTGCGATCACGATCCTTGTCCGGTAGGATGAGTCGCAGCGCAGGATAAAAGTCATTCCCCACCTCTGTCCGCCATCGTGATATAAATCGCTGGATGATGGCCCGTCGCTGCTCATGGGGCGAAAGTCGTGATGAGCCAGGCCCAAAGCCTGCCTTCAATCGCGCCGGCCCAAGAACGGCGGGCTGCGCTTTGACCTCACTCAAAGGGTTGAAAAAGCTGCGGAAAAGCTCCGAAAAGAGCAGTGTGGCCGAGTGGTTATGCGGCCGGTTCGGGTACCTGGACGAACGGGAGAGTGTGGGTCAGCAAACCAGGTGCCGCTCTGTCAATATGGATGCGCTCCTGATGCAAAGTCACAGAGAATTCGCGAACCTATCGTCGTCTGGCTGTAGACTGTGTCCGTATTGAAGCAAGTCCTCCCTCCGTGCTTCCGCACCGGGCGAGTCCTCCCTTTTGATGTGTGGCTCGCTCATAGCAGGAAAATTGTCTAACCACCCCTTTGAAGTAAATCCTGCTCGCCTTTGCAAACGAGCGACTGAATGATAAGTCACATTACACGCCAAAAAGAGGCATTTGACGCGAATTAGGCTGGTGATGTCCTTATCGCCAATTCACGTGACTGCTCTATCTTATCTTAGCGCCATTGCCACGTCTTGTGCCTTTGTGTTTTGTGTGTTTGCTTATATCATACCCATTTTCTTTACGGAAAACAACGGCATGTCAAGCATTGAAGCCCCACTATTATTGTTTCTAAAGTATGCTGTGCAACATACGACTTACGACATGAGTCGTACCAGTTGCTTTGACAACAAAAGTATCTTGGGCCTGGAGACCTCGCTAAACGAAGAGACATGAGACTCCTCCACTAATGTGCCACACTCAATTTGTTAGGCCTGGAGTGTTTTTTTTTTGGTCCTGGAGACGACCTTTGTCAATCATGACATCATTGGCGAAGCCTGTCTTTCCTCGGGGCCAACTTGGATCTTTGATCGTTTGCTTGTGGGGAGCTGAAACAAGAACCTAGGTGGCTAGAACGTTGACAGCCACAGAGGCCTGTTATTGTGGATCATGCAAGCAAGGAATCGATTTCCGATTATCCTTACGAAAGTTCGATCACTTCTTGCCGGGGGCTATTATGATGTTCGGTAGTCCGAGTTCGCATACGACGTTGTCATTTGTAGCGAACGACGTACGTGGGAGTATTAACAGGGGGCCTGGTCAGGCGACTGTTGTTGTCTGGTTGGAAAGGCGCGGCGTAATTTTACATCTCAGGCGTCATCGCTGGCCAGGAACGGCGATCTTCGCCCAGCGCTGCTGAAAGTACCATTTACATGAGTTACAAGCTCGTCATCGGTTAAACTGCAATTCACCACTCGTGGATACGAAACATGTGCTTTTCGTCTTTAGTGCTATGCATACGCAACCGACAAAGAAGTTCCTGGCAGGTCAACGGTGTTATGTCGATTTCAGTCGCTTGCGGCCATGACGTCAACCACTCGTAGGCCGAAGCCAAAGGGGAGTCCAAGGTGAAGATGCCGCCAGTCTGGATCTAAGAACGAGTTTAAAAGTAGGATTGGGGACGCATATATAAATCGTCAGACTCAAACCTTTCAGCCAAATCGCGATATGAGTCCTTTAGTTGGTTGCATGCCATTCTGGTAAACAACGGTCATCATCACATCTACCAAATTCAATACCCTATTTCCTCCTCTGATTTTATTCGTTTTACTTTTATTGTTCCTGATAAACTAGTTTTTTATTCTCTTCTTTGGAGTTCAGCCATGGCTTCGACAGGTGTTAACCGGCCGACAAATGTCCGGCAGCGGGATGAAGACATCGACCGAAAGTTGCAACTCTATGGAATCGCCAGCGCCTTCCGGAATGGCAAGATGCCCTCCAATGAGCAGATCGATGCGACCTTGAACAGCTTTATCGCGTCCAAGGCCTTGTCCAACCCGTCCAACAAGCTCTCGTCTGAAGGCCGGGCCCTGGTCGCTGATTTCCGCGACGTTGTCAACCAAGCTAAGCTTCTTCTGCTCACCAAGAATGACGGCAACTTGCTACAAGATTTCATTTGGAAGACCAGCCGTCATGAGTACTCAAGCATTGAGGTCCCTGGGGCTGTGGTTTCCAAGGATGAAGCCAAACAAGATGGTGACAAGGCCCTAGAAGGCATCAAGACCCTCGGCAACCTGCTCATCACGAACGGCCAATTCCGAAAGCTTTGTAAGCCTTTTTCTTTTCCCAGGCGTGTTGTGACAATCTGGCTTGGTTTAGACGTCAACGATGGGCTGACTGTATTTCCCCCTGCATATAGTGAAGGACTCGTCAGTGCTCTTCAGGGACATCCTTGCCGACTCTGCGTCAAAGGCAACGTCTGTTGTCCGGCCATCTGACGAAGCGTTGGCTCAGATCGACGAGCCTGCACCGGATGACACTTGGCACGATCGGCCGAATTTGGCAAAGAATGACCTGAAGAACCGCACCAAGGCGCTCTATAAGAAGAACAACTCAGGTGGCACAACATCCGGGCGCGATGTCGGCGGTACATCGGCGACCGATACGCAGAGACTCGATGGCCTTCAGGATGGTACCGCGGAAACTGTCCAAGACAAGACTGCTGAGTATCGCGATCGCGCCAAAGCCTACCTGAGATCAAAGGTGCCCCAAGAGCGCAGAGATCAGGCGGTTTGGAGACTGAAGGTACGGATTGCGTTTTTTCTTGCTTCATTGTCCCGCTGAGCCGTTTCTAATGCTGTGACAGAAAATGATTATCGAGTGTCAACAGCACCCCGATTATCAACAGGCCATCCAGGCACTCCTGGACCTGGCCGAGCGCTATCATAGCCATGCCAAGACGACCACTGCGAACTCGCATGGAGTCGTCCAAAATACCAGGGACCGTCTGTCAGATGCGGAAGCGGACCTGAAAACATTAATCGAGCGCTTTGCGAATAGCACTTCGACGGATAATCTCTGGAGTTCTATCAACGACATCTATACGTTGGCCGACAATGATAACGAGTTGCAGTCCTGGTTCAGCAAAGTCGATCGCTTCCTTCGCCGCTGCCTCCAAGAGAAGGGTTTCGTTCTCGAAGATGCCTCCACCGAGGAGTGGAATCGGCTCTATGATCATGGCAACTACCTCCTGCGCGAGAAGTACCGACCGCAGACCGACAAAGTTGCCAACGAGGTCAAGTTCCTTGCTGATCAGTTCGACAAGGACGCCCAGAACCAAGCCTTTGGCAAGTCTGTCAGAAAGCTCTTGTACGATCTGGGAAATGATGAAAATGGGAAGCAGACTTTCAAGCCCCATCTCGTCAAGGATGTCACCAATGTGATTCTCCCTGCCACCCTGGAGAGCATCGCTTACATTCCCATCCCCCGGATCGAGTACTCTGACAGTCAGGTCGATGCTGTCATCGAGAACCTGGTGCTGGAGAGCGACAACTTTATGCCCAATGTGTTTGAAATCTACAACAACAATTATGTCTCTTGGGGCCGGAAACTGGGCAAAGTCGGCAATAATAGGCACTCTGCGCAAGTCAACGTATCTGGCATTCAGATGGACCTGCGCAATGTCAGCTACTATGTCAAGAGAAAGGAGGGCTTCCCTTCTCTCACAGACGTTGGCATTTTCAGTGTCTTCTTGTCCGGCCAAGGTTTCAGCTTCAAGTTAGGCCTCAGCACTGCAGGGCCTAGCAACCGGCAGCATTTCTTCAAGGTCGATAAGGTCCATGTGGACATTGACAACTTGAAGATCACTATGCACAAGTCGCAACACAAGCTCCTCTTCACTGTTTTCAAGCCCATTCTGATGCGCGTGATGCGACCCGTCTTGCAGAAGGTGCTAGAAAAGACCATCCGGGACAACTTTAACAAATGGGACACCACCCTGTACACAATTAAGCAGGATGCTGACCGTGCTGGGCGGGAACTTGACGTGGATCCTGACGAGGCTGGTTCAAAGCCCAACTCGTACAACCGCTTCTTCACTGCTGCCAGGAAACACATGGAAGATTCCAAGGAGCGCAAGAAGGTGGAGGCCAAAAAGAAGGCGGCCGACCTGGATGACAAAAAGCTTAACATTGCCTACACGAAGGAGGACAGCATCTTCCCTCACATTAACTTGCCTGGCGGTTTCAGCTCAAAGGCGTCCCGTTATAGGGCCATGGCCAACGAGGGCGATAACTGGCAAAGCCCGGTGTTTACGCTTGGCTCGGCCGGCACCACCAAGAGCGTCCCTAAGCCTTCGGTTATTGAAAAGAAGGAGGCCCCGGTTTCTAATCCCAGTCGGGTGAATGGTGCGAATGGAGCTAACCGGGCCAACGGTAACGACGATTTTGCCACCGCCAATAGTGCCAACGGCTACCAGAGCACCCAGGGCCACCAGAGCACCCAGGGCCTCCAGGGCGCCAACGGCCTGACTGCGCCGTTGGCCGTGCCGGTCGCGGTGGTTGCCCCTGCCGGGAGCACTGCCACTGCTACGGGCCATGATGTGGCGGTTGCGGCAACTGGAGCAGCACGGGATGGTGCACAGGGAACTACGGGAGTTGTCTCCTCCGTTTCCGGACGCCTTGTCTAAAATTGATTGCGATTGAGGTTGGGGAATTATACCCAGTGAATTTCGGGGTTTTTGTTTTTACTACTGGCCGTTTTATAATAGTTTCGTCGTTTCCGGGTCAGTATACGGAAGGCTTTAGTTTATTTTCCATAAGATTTGTTTTTCATAAGTTTCCATGATAAGCGATGGAGCTATCAATAGTGACTGAGATAAAACATCTGAAGAAGCAGCAATACGTCCGGCAGTACGGCGCACTTCAGTGGCGGACCTTAACCGCGAAGGCCACTTGAATAATCGGATGTGTGCTAAACAGATTCGTCATCTGTTTCTAAACCGTGATATTTCATCTCTAGCACCCATTTCTCATCGAAGTCGATACCACGGCGAATCTTTGTGCCAGCCTTTTTCCAAACCGCCGCTCCTAGGCCTATGTCGGCAACAAAAAGCCTCCAATCGAGTGGTTGGTCATCGGCTGCATCCATCGCTGCTGTGTCTCCTAACTCTGCAGCAGCCATCGCTTCGAGAAGGCCACGCTTTGGTGCCCCCAAAGCAATGACATAACGAGGCCGCACGTAGAGCCGCGCACCGTCAATGATACTGACATACCCAGAGCTTGGGTCAATGCCGGTAGGCACGTCGACTGCTAGAACGAAAGCTTCGTTTCGATTGGCCCATTCCATCAACTCGTAGACGGTAGCTTGATCCCCGGTCCGTAGCTCGTCGAAGGATACGACAATACCAAGAAGTGCATCGATAATCAGCGTGACTGCGGGAACAGTGGCGCTTACAGCACTTCGCGGCGTATCACCGGCGAGTGTGGGAATAACTGTTTTGCGAAGATGCTCAAACAGGTCGTTTTTGTTGTAAACGCGGCCGCCAAAATTTCGATATGTTCGAATCTGCTGACGCAAGTCGTCTAATAACTCACGTTCTCCTCGCTCAATGCCGACAACACATAAAATAACATTGATCCCTTTATTTCGCAGATGCCTGCCGCCAGCCACGGCCCTGGTGCCGGACTTGTTGTTACCTACCAGGATAACAATTGTTGGCGCTGATCCGCCGTGTGCAAGAGGAGTAGAGGGCTCCTTGCTATGTAGGTCAGCTTGCTTTAAACGAATTTTGTTCGCAGGGTCAGAAAGAGTCTCGAGAGCCACTTCCGCAATACCACGACCAGCATTTTCTGTCATCATGTCCTCCGAGAGGCCGAGCTCGTTATGCGCGATGTTTTCGAGATTGAGCATCTGCAGTGCCGAAACGGTCTCAAGACGCCGCTCCGATGGCAGGACGTAAAAGTGCTGCGTTGTAGAAACTGCGGATGATAGCGGCTAAATGAAAAGAGAAATAGAACAGTGTGAGTTTTGGCGTATGGGAAACAGCAACAAGCACACACCAAAGCACCAAAGTATAAGTTTCCTGCTTCGGATATGCAAGAAAATGGAGCGGAAAGGTTGGAGAGATAAATGTGATAACGTACAGCAATAGAGTTGACCCTTGATGGGCCTTGCCCAACTGTTCCGGCGCCGCTGGCTTTCCGTGATTGGGACCGCCGCGTATTTGAAACTTTGCTGTCGCTCCGCCGCGAGCCTTGCCGGTTTCCCAAATCGCGGCCACTCAAACGGTCCCCTCCACCAGTCCTGCTGGCAGCCCCGACACCTGGTGCTCCCCCCGTATGCGTTTCGTCGGTCTCGCTATTCCAAAAGTCCTCTGACACAGACCGTGGTTCTTTCGGGATAATCTTTGACGCGATCGTGACCGATGGTAAGAAATAGCCAAGAACATTTTCCGTGTGGTGAAAATTCTTTCCTCCAGCGGTACCTGGTTGTCGGTTATGTGTGACCAGTCGATCAGCATCGTCGATCTGGTCATGTTTGCGCATCTGGTCGAACAAGGCGTGCTTGTCAAATTTCGCCAGGCTTTCTTCGAAGTCGAAATCGCCCATTTCTTGAACGTCGGTTGCGTCCTCCGACGCCCACCCATTATCCTGGTTGGACTTTTCCCGTCGCTTACTAGAATTTTTAAGAGATTTGAAAGGCTGAAACGAAGCGGTACTTTGGAGCATGGGTGTATCTCGCCAACCCTCCCCTTTCCCAAGCTGTTTCGACCGCTCCGGCGTCAGGTCTACGCTCCCTTTCGCCTCGCTACTCTTGGCTCCTCGCTGTTGGCGTTGGCGCCTTCGCGTCTTTGGTGTGACATCGTGTTGCGGAATACGTGGAACAGGCATCGAAGTAGTGGCAGGATTTCCCGCAACAGCGTAGTTGGTATTTGCATTCACTTTGTCTGAGAGCTCGGGCGTACCATTAGAGATTTCCAGAGTGCTCCCAATTGCACCCTTTGCAGATATAGGGGTGTCATGGAGTGATGACTCTTGTACAGAGACTCCCGCAACAGTGTATGTTGGTGGTGGGAAGCTGGCTTCCCCCGTTGCGATGTGGCGCGTCTGGTTCATCGCCCTGTTCTGGCTGAGGCTGGAGGCCGGCCGTTCTGACAGCGGCCTGAAAGAGACTATAGCCGGGTCCCCGAGTACAGGTGTAATAGACTTATTTTCAACGTGTGTGGTGTGGGTTGGAACGGCGATATGTGCAGTATTAGGCGCGGGGACCATTGGAGACGGAGAATGTGCGTAGCGCGGGTCTTTACTGGCATCGAATATTTCAGCAATATTCCCAGGGTCAACAATAATCTGTGGGTGCCACGTGTGGCTATTGAGGGACCAAACTGTAGTGCGTTAGGACATTGAAGCTGAAGGGGAAAGAGACAAGAAGAGGACGAGGAGCAAAGTTCATGTTTGGCTCGCGATGTTTGAGAAATAAGACGCACCATTGCTGAGCGTCAGGCTTTGACCAGCTTCCAAGTCTGTCACCGATCCGTACAGTCGCTCGGGTGGGTTCCGCAGTTCTACTACCACGACCATTTGCAGAAACTCGCTCGCCATGGCTAAGGCTGTTGTTGTATAACTGGAGGTGGCAGGAAAGAGTTGCGCGCCGTTCTTCGTAAATTGTTTGCCGCAGGTCGAGGAACATGACCGATACAGCAAAGGTAGAGCTAGCAACTTGTAAACGAACCAGGTTTGGCGCGGGAGGCTTATTCTTGCAGAATGAACGGGGGCTTCAGTTGTTGGATGATTGCAAAAGGGAAAGCGTTCTTGAACATACGGAGTACGGAGTAGGGTATAGTTGTAAGGCTAGCTCAAGCCTTGCGCCAAACCAAAAGCTTATCGATTACTCCTTTGCTCTCTAGAAAGGACAGTGTAAACCGTGTGTAATTTATATACACACTGTCTGTGCTTTGAGGTCCGAGAAATATATACGGCCAGACCGTTGTTGTATCAAATAATCCAATTGATTAAGTTTCAGTCCTTTTTGTAGGCCTGTTGACTATGCAATGATGGTATGGGTAACATGCCCCTTGACAGAATATACAGTAAAAACTCGCCGAACGTCGCCTCCCACTCAAAAAAAAAAAAGTGCACATAATACAATGCCTCATTGAGCCCATATCCGTTTTAACCAGTTCCATACGCAGCCGTGGCCGTCTTATGTTTCAGGAGCGGATTGGTAAAAGCGAGAATAGATGCATTTCCGTGCTTGCCCTTCAAAGCAGCTTCAGCGCTGGACAACTTGCCGTAGAATCCGATAACCTTCGGATGAGCCATCACCTTGTGTTTCTCGAACCTCAGTACTTGCAGACCACTTTTCGTTGTGGCTCGACTAAGCGCAACGTATGCTTGGCCCTTCTCAAAAACCCTGCCAAGATCGACTTTAACACGCTCCAGCGTTTGCCCTTGAGCCTTATGAATCGAAAGAGCCCAAGCCAAAATTAAGGGCAACTGGGTGCGCGAAGCTTGGACAACACCGTTTGGCAGCTCAGACTTCCATTCTTCCGGGCGTATAAGAATGCCGCGTGTAGAACCGCCTATGCCGTGGAACAGGACATAGGGATAGAGACGGCCACTGTTTCCGGCTCCCCCATTGCCATTGTTTGTTAAGGTGTCGCCGTTAAGATAACTATTCAAGATACTAGTCCTCTTCTTGATATCGGGGTCGGCAGGTACAGAACTGGCGTTGAGATCGATGTACTCGCTTTCAGTCATAAATTTTTCGACTGTGCCAAGAGAACCATTGACGAGAGATTCATCCATGTTTTTGATTAACATGACTTGAGCACCGACACGAAGTTCGAGCATTTTCGGCGCCATCATGTTTTGAAGTAGCTTCTCACGTAGAGCAGGCTCTCCTGTGTCGAGTGCTTCATAGAACATGGACTTTTGGTTTAGTCCGCGAAGGCGCCGTTCGTTGGAGTTCTCAACCTCTTGCCGTGTAGGAAATCTAGAACAGGAAGACCAGAAGTCAGCTAAAGCGCTTGCAAATGAAGAGACTGACACTGGACTGGTGGGATGTACAATTCTGTCACTTCAAGGCCGTCGTCGAATTGAAGAGGTCGTGACAATGACTTGAACGTCTGCACAGTTTGTTCACTGATCTGGCCAAGCCGCATTTCGTTGAGCATCTGTGCAAATTCTGTTCCCAAAATGAGTCTTCTTGTTAGCGAATCTCCTCTTGCTAGCGCCAATACGTTTAGCTGGCTTCGCATATGACGAACCTGGATCCTTCTGGCGGAACACTTCGGTCAAACCGATGGTGTGGTCGATGGAATCCCCCCACGTCAGGGCCTCAAAAGCAAACTTTACGTCTCGCTTTTCTCGATCGGGAACCGGAGGCAGCTGGAAGAAGTCGCCGGTCAGAACGAGCTGTATGCCACCCCAAGGGCGGCCATTTTTACGGATAGTGCGTCCGATCTGAGAGAGTTTGTCGAAGAGGTCTCCATCAAGCATGGAGATTTCGTCGATAACGAGTGTCTTGGTCTTTAGCCAGCGGTTTCTGGCCTTTTGATTTTGTCGGATTTTGCGGATGAGGGTATTTGGGTCTTCTTTGCCAAGGCCAATACCAGCAAAGCTGTGAAGCGTCATGCCACCAATATTGCAAGCCGCCAAACCAGTGGAGGCTGTGACGCCGAGCTGCTCTGGATCTTTCGCATATTTTGTCCGTAAATCATCGATAATTGCTCTCATCAAGACCGATTTGCCTGTCCCAGCCGGCCCTGTAAAAAATACGCTTGCCTTTTTGAAGCAAACTAGGTTTTTGACATGCTGCTGCTCATTGCTCAGCGTCAAAGGCCCAGGCGGCTTCGGAAGGGAACTCACTTCGCTGAGACGGTCGCGCGAGCTTTTAGCTTCGGCGTGGCCACCATTATCCAACCCAGCGGTTGTCTGTTTTCTTGATAGCCCCTTAAGCTGCTTCTTCTGTACCTTCACTGCGCTGGCAGTTGCATCTAACATCGCTCCTAAAGGTTTTGGCGCCGGCATTACAGAGCTAAGAGGTGCTTCTTGCGGTAGGGTCTTTGACCAGTTTGGCATTTTCCGCCTTTTTGTCAACGGCTGTGGTGAGGTCGTGGCTGTACTGTCTGAAGAGGCACGTTTCGAAGATACGGAAGATACGTGAGCACCATAATATGCCGAGTCATCTTGAGGTGCGCGAAGCGTGGGTGATTGGCATGGGCGAGGAGGCGATGGTTTGGGGCCTGCACCTGATGCTGCAGGTGCTTCATGTATCTTTGTGAGGGGCAAAGGACACGGGATATCAAGGTCAAGATTTTCGTCATCGGCAAAATCGTCTGGGCAGACGCCGAGTGCCCGCAGCTCCTCCTCAGTTGCTTCTGTCAATCCGCACACTTTTCGAGCAGCGGCCAAGGATGGTTCCTCAGTAAACGAGTCGGATTTGCCGTATAGGGCTGCGAGGCTACCGGTGTTCGAATGTACAGCCTTCGTGGCCACATATGGCGCGTTCAGCGAGCGGTGTTGGAGAGGTTTGCTTGTAATCGTTGGGCGAGATTTAGGCGGGTTGAATGACGGTTGTAGCTTGAAGGTGGAAGCTTGCGACGTGCCTGAAATAGGTCGCCTGTAGAAGTCGTTGATAGAGGTATTGTTCGGGATAGATTTGGCCAATGGAGCCCTCTTCGGGTCGGCAGAGGGGTGCGCTCTATTGTTCCCGGACGGGGCAGCAGCCGGCCCGCTTGCCGAATTGGACGTTTTCGCTGCTCGGGCGAACATGGCGGTGGCAGTGGCGGAGACGGCACTCGATAAACAAAACCAGCAACCGGAATGGTGGAAGAAGATGGATGGAGGAATGGTAGTTCGTCGTGCGACCCCTCCTACAGCTGCAAGTCGGAGGTGCAAGACGTTTGACACACCCGTCTTCATGCAGACACTCGGATGAAGGACAGTATGGTCGTGCGTTGTTGTTGTGGCATTGCCGGGTGGAGGCTCGAGCTGAAGAGGAAAGACACTGCCGACCAGGGGTTGACGGACAAACGAAAAGCGCGTCGCGTTTTTCTTTGATCCAACACGGCAAGTCACGACAATAGTCACGTGTCAATGTTAGATTCAGTAATAACAGCCTGCACTACGAGAAGTTGACTATGTACTCCAAAAAATATGTTTTTGAACTCCGCATTAATGTAAAGGAATGTTGGACCCAAATGTATCAAGAAACTTTTGTTTTGCGTTCTGTATGATGTAATCACAAACGCCGTAAAGGTCGATTATTCTGCATTTCTCTCTGTGGAACGGTCCTACCGCGTGTATGAGCTCCGTAGAAAGGGCACATGGTTTCTTGAACCCGGTTTTATTAGAACGATCTCGGAGCAACATTAACACCCAATACCAATCGCAGGTCCCATCAAGCCGGGGCACTGTAATCCCTGGGTGGCAGCCGGATGTAGCAAGCCTCGGTGAGAAAATCGAGTAAACCGGCACTCCGACACATTTAAAGCGCGATTCTTCACGCCGTTATCGTATCTTTCGCGGCGTCCTGATCGTTTTAGGACGCGATATACGAAGTAGGATATGCCGGTGGAAAAGTGTATATTCACGGAGTATTTGGCAGGATGGCAGTGACTCTACATGTCTATCTTGCTAGATGTTCCTGCACGTCGTGTTTTAGCTCTCATAAGTGCAAAGATGAAGCTCGCACATACAAGGTGCCACCCAGTCGCCGAGATGATAAGTGTCGATACTTGTACGACATATTCATGGGCATTTCGTCCTCGTGACCGTTTTCGTTTTACTGGCTTACAGCGGCGGGGCTGATCTTGCGTCTCTAATGTGCATGGTCCGTTGAATTGGTGGGGGCAATGCAGCATGTGTATGGAGGGAAGGGCGGAGTACGAAGTATTTGCATAATACCAAAGATCGATAATGTTCGACATTACAAGCACGGAGTAGCCAATGTGTGTTTGCCACCACAAGACACTTGGCCGCTTGGCTGCTTGCTTGGCTGGACTGGTGAACTTGGGATAATAATAATTAAAAGGCACTTGGCCAGGAAACTTTGGCGTGGCTTGGAGAGACATTCAACGCGTCGTTGATGGACTGCATGATAAGGGCGAGTTACGTGGACCTACTGACATTTTTATCTTTTTTTTCTCACGAAATTAGTGGAATGAACGTGTTATCGCAATCCGATAGGCCCACCACCAGGGTTATGCCGAAAGACCACGCGTACTGGCTCGGGAGTGCCCCATAACCGGACCTGCTATGTCATGTCGCTATGAAAGAGTATCTTATTTACCACACATGTCGGTGTTGTTATTCAAACTGCCTCTCAATTAGAGGAATAGTCCGCATCGACGTAGAAAAGACTTTGTTGGTCCGCAACGGAAGGAGGGACCGTACTTGGGTCAGGCAGCGCTCCCGTTACGGCAGAGCACCGTGAAGCCCTATGATTGCTTGTCCTAATATCTTGTCGTAGCACCGTCACAAGTTCGGAATAATCCGTAGTATTACTTTGTTTGAATTCCAATCGCCACGCAAGTATTTGGTATTTAGTCTGGTCACACGCTACGAGAGCATGCAAACGAAAACCCGATACCGCAACGCAATTCAAGTCGTATTGGCCCAGCTTCCTCAAAGACTCAATGGAGCCTCGTTCGTTAGCGCGTCCAGTTCTTTCCCGCCACAACGTAATATACTGAGCATAATCCTAGTCCATCCAATCTTGACGCCTGTCTTTTTTTTGCCTGGCGTTTCACGACCCGCAAGTCCATGTTCTTTCTCTTGCATTTTTCCTTCCTTCTCATTTTGAGTTACTTACTTTACCACGCATGCACCTCTTGATTTTTTTTTGGTCCCCTTTCTTTTTATTCCGGTTTTCTTTTTTCGTCTACAGACACGCGTTGCATGCACTTGAAGTTATAAACCCCAATGCACTGATCATTCAGCGCCAGCCGTGTTCCCTAAAACGCAAATAGCACGCCGCCCTAGCCTTCAGCTAGTCTAGAATCTTATCTGACGACCTTCTCACTTTTGTTGCTTCAACGCCCTATGGCACACAGACCCGTCTCTTCACACATACGCACGCCGCCACTTTCTCTATTTCGTTTGCGCCCCTGTATGTCTCGAACGCAGCACCATCACCAACCCGAGTCAATCGATTGGGGCGCCGATACCCGGTATTTTCCCGGCTCGTTTACCGTCACTTGCGGCGCACCCGGATGCACCGGTCCTGCTCACGTCTTGTTTCTCCCCACCGCGCTGCCCTACGGGTTTGCTTTCGCAGCAGCTACGTCTTGAACTCCACCGCCTGCGCCGGCCAGAGGAAGAGCACAGCTCCAGTTCGCTCCTCTGCTCGTTACTCATTTGCTAGGCCGTCACCGACGCCGGCCCTTTCTTCCGCGCCGCCGGGCCCGCCCTTTTCCCCTCGACAACCGCGACAATGGCGTGGGCCCACCTGTCTATCACCAAACCCCATCTGGTATACATCATCCTCGGCGGCTTCACCTCCCTGTTTATGCTTTGCTCGTCCATCATCAAGGAACGCATCTACATCGGTGAGGCCACTGTTGCCACTCTCTGTGGCCTCATCTTCGGCCCGCATGCTGCCGACTTGATCGACCCAGCATCCTGGGGAAATGTCGACATCGTTACCATCGAGTTCTCTCGCATTGTCCTCGTCGTCCAGTGTTTTGCTGTTGGCGTCGAACTGCCAAAGTTCTACATGGAACGGCACTGGAAGTCCGTCATATTCCTCCTCGTACCTGTGATGACCTTCGGCTGGCTTGTAACATCTTTATTTGTTTGGTGGATGGTACCGCCCCTTGACTGGCTTGACAGCCTCGTCATCGCCGCCTGTGTCACCGCCACCGACCCCGTCTTAGCGTCGTCTGTTGTCGGCAAGGGCAAGTTCGCCAAGCGGGTGCCAAAGCATTTGCGTGATTTGCTCTCTGCCGAATCTGGATGCAATGATGGTATGGCCTTTCCCTTCATCTACCTCTCGCTTTATCTCATCCAGGACAAGCGCGACGCCGGAGAGGTTTCCTTCCACTGGATCGTGTACACAATTCTCTACGAGTGTATTTTCGGTGCCATCTATGGATTCCTGATCGGTTACATTGCCCGTCACGGCATCAAGTTTGCCGAGCGCCATGACCTCATCGACCGCGAGAGCTTTCTCGTGTTCTATTTTGTCCTAGCTCTTTTCTGCGCTGGTTCTGGAAGTATCCTCGGTGTTGATGATTTGCTGGTTGGCTTCTCGTGCGGCGTGGGCTTCTCGAACGACGGATGGTTCGGCCATAAAACAGAAGAATCGCACGTATCAAACGTCATCGATTTGCTGCTCAATCTGACATATTTCGTGTACCTCGGAACTATCATTCCCTGGGAGATGTTCAACGACACGTCGATTGGCTTGTCCGCCTGGCGCCTCACCATCATAGCTATTTTTGTCATTCTTTTCCGCCGTATCCCTATCATGCTTGCATTGAAGCCTTTGATACCGGACATCAAAACATGGCGCGAGGCCCTCTTTGCTGGTCACTTCGGCCCTATTGGTGTTGGTGCCATCTTTGTCGCCATAATGGCTCGGGCCGAGCTCGAGAGTGACTCGCCTGTACCCCTGTCCCAACTTCCACCGCCCGACTCGCCCCATTACACGCTTTTGACTCTCGTTTGGCCCATCACGACATTTTTAGTTGTCTCGTCTATTATCGTCCACGGGTCGTCCATCGCCGTGTTCACTTTAGGAAAGCGGATCAATACCTTAACAATCACAATGTCCTACACCACGGCTCCAGAGGAAGGTCCGTCGTGGATGAATCGCCTGCCACGCATATCATCTCAATCACGTTCTCAGGCACGCACCATGTCGGATACGGACGTAGACGAGCTTAAAATGCCAAGTGTCCCTCCAGGCACGCTTTTGCCTGTTGGGATACCTGGGCAATTCCTGCGACGAATCAAAGATGAAGAAGGCACCAGCAAGCAAGGCAGCCGAGCATCGTCGCGTGCAAGTCGCCGCCGGAGAAAGAAGTGGGACGACGGTATCGGCCCCGGTGGGCCTATCAGTCAGTCTGCGATATACCCTCAACGCCCAGCGAGCGATGCCCTTGTATCAAGTTCCCCACTGCAAACCGAGACACTTGGGCCTGATGAGCCGGAAGAACAGCCTTCGCAAGGCTCTGGACAAACTATTGTCGCAGAAGAAGAGGGACGTCTGGAAGGTAGCGACGAGGAGAAGAGGGGCCGCCCGGAGCAAAGGGGGTCTTCTGAAGGACCTGACGGCTCTGTGTCGCCAACTTCTGCACCAAGGCTCAATGTATATGACGAAGGCGATAATATTGTTATCGAGACGGAACAGGGAGAAGTCGTCGCTGTCGAACCTACACATTCTCACAGTTTGCCTCTCGAAGGGACCGACGTGGAAAAGCTCAAGGAGAGTTTGACCCCAGAGGCATTAAAAGCCGAGGCGGGAACCTCTGCCTGGTCATACGATGCTATCAAGAAAAAGATCGGCAATTGGAAAAATGACGAGATCCAGAAAAGAAAAGAGAAACAAAAGGATACGCGCAAACACGAACCTGCTCGAGCTTACCAATTTGGCAATACGGTACAGTCTTCTCGTTCCCTCCGCGTAGAAGGCCGAGGGGTGGTACAAATCCTTTGTTCAGAAAGTTACATGTTGCTAACGTTTACTTTTGTCTTAGATTATTGTCGAAGACGAAGACGGGGAAGTTGTCAAGACGTACGAGCTACCGCCGCAAAGGGGGGACAAAGAT